GGCGCGGCCAGGACGGCCCGATCGCCCCGCCCCTCTCGCGAGAGCACGGGGCGGGACCGCGGTGGGCGGGGCTTGGGAGGGAGGGGCGGGGCCTGGGTGGTGCAGGTGTGCGCAGGTGTGTGCAGGTGTGTGTGTACAGGTGTACGTACAGGTGTGTGTGCATGGACAGGTGTATGTACAGGTGTGTGCGTGTACAGGTGTGTGTGTGCATGTACAGGTGTGTGCAGGTGTGTGTGTACAGGTGTATGTACGGGGTGTGTGTATGGACAGGTATGTACGGGGTGTGTGTGCTTGGACAGGTGTATGTACGGAGTGTGTGCATGGACAGGTGTATGTACAGGGGGGTGTGTGCATGGGCAGGTGTGCCCATGTACAGGTGTATGTACAGCTGCATGACATACAAGAGTGTACATACAGATGTGTAGATACAGGTGTGTGCATGTACAGGTGTATGTACAGGGGTGTGTGCATGGACAGGTGTGCACAGGTGTGTGTGTGTACAGGCATTTACATGTGTGTGTACAGGGGTGTGTGTGCATGGGCAGGTGTGTACAGGTGTGTCCATGTACAGGTGTATGTACGGGTGTGTATGTACAGGTGTGTGCAGGTGTGTTCTGCAGGTACAGGGGTGTATGTAGGGGTGTGTACATACAGGTGTGTGCAGGTGTATGTACAGGAGTGCACATAACAGGTGTGTGTATATACAGAAGGGTGCAAATGGGTGTGTGTATGTACAGCTGTGAGCATACAGGGTGTACGTATGTGTGCAGGTACATACAGGGGGTGTGAGGCCACCACCAAAGCACTGGTGTGTCTCCAAAAACACCCTTACAGGAGAGAGGCCATTCCCAACACAACCCTGATGAGCCGTGAGATCATTTAATGAAATGGGCAGCGATGCACAGCCATCACACCAGCGAAATGCTCCTCACCCACGTATCTGTTTCCTTCATTATTTTAGGATAATGACACCACAAAGCCCCAGAGCAAAATGTGCAGCCTGCCGTGGGGCTGGGCACCTCCATCCCAAGCCCATTTCCCATCATCTCCCATTTCCCATCCCATTCCTTGCTCCCTGGGAGCCTCCACCCTTTGCCCCGCTATGCTCTGGTCCTCAGGGCAACGTTGCAGGGAAAAGCTGCAGCAAACGCATTTTTCCTCATGCCAGACAAGAGCTCAGAACGCATCAGGAGCAGAACCAGGACCCCAATGCAGGGCGGGACGCCGCAATGAGGGCTGCAAACCCCAGGCAGGCAGCAGGACCCCGTTTCAGTCCCACAGGTGTCCCCAACCCCTCTGCTGTGGAGGGTCCGGGGAGCGGGACCCCCGTCTCAGAGCACACCAGCGGTGACCCTGCAGCTCTTGGCGGGGATGATCCTCCTCTTGCAGGAGAAGATCTTGCGCAGCTCCCCGCGGAAGCGGTCGTGCAGCCAGGCGTAGAGGAAGGGGTTGCAGCAGGAGGAGCTCATGGTGAACCAGTGGCAGAGCAGCTGGATAAGGAGGAAGTAGTGCTTGTTGATGAGGCCGATGTCGATGTCCCGGATGATGTTGAAGACGTGGATGGGGAGTCAGCAGACCCCGAAAGCCGCCACCACCAGCACGATGAGGCGGAAGATCTTCCTCTTCTTCAGGCGGTCAAACTCGGCTTGGCTCTGGGTGGGGTGGCCGGGCGCCACGTGGTTCCTCAGCTTCACCGAGATGCAGAGGTAGGAGAGGGAGACGGCGGAGAGGGGCAGGATGTAGGTGATGAGCAGGGTGCCGTAGGCGTAGGCCAGGCGCTGCATCTCCTTCTCCATCCAGAACTCCTCGCAGATGGCGAAGCCCTCCTGCCGAAACTCCACGTGGTAGGTGTGGGCAACAGCGGGGGCCACCAGCCCGCAGGACAGCAGCCAGATGCCCCCCACCACCGAGACGCAGCTGGTGACCGAGATGTGCTTCTTCAGGGGGTGCACGGTGGCGTAGTACCTGTAGTGAGAGAAACAGGAAAGCCCACGCTCCAGAGCATCCCCCTGGCATCCCCAAATTCCCCAACAGACCTCTACCAGCTCCAGGAGTGGGGGCACAGCCCCCCATGGCTGTTGGGAAAGGGCTGGGGACGGGGGGACAATGGCATCCCTATGCCCTGCTATGGGGCAAGGTGGTTTCTGCTGTTTCGGGAAGCAGGACACAGAGCACCCCTCCCACTGCCTGTGTGTGTCTCTGAGCCTGGAGGATGGAGCTGGAGGATTTGGGCTGAAATCATCCATTTGGGATAAATCCCAATGACAATTTATGAACATACCGACAGTGTAACTCAGTGGCTGCCTCTTTAGCAAGAGAAACATAGGCAAATCGTTTTGACCCCCCAAAAAAAGGCTTTGTTGAGGAGCAAAGGGACAATGCCAACACTCCTGGGGACAGAGGAAGCCCATGGCGAGGGCAGCACGGCTCCACCAGCAGCTATTTTGCTCAGATTCTTTTAATTTTCTCCCTTCCCATCACGGTCCTGCCCCGCTCTCCCCCAGGACACAGGCACTCAAGGCGCTCCTGGCACTGCCAGCATCGCCAATGGGGAAACTGCACCCAGTCGCAGAGTTTTGTAACGCATCCCAGTAGCCCTCCTAAAACTCCCCAGTCCAAATTTGCACGAACTGGGTTTTTAGGTCAACTTCCGTGCACCCTCCCTGCTTCACCCCACACATTTGCAAGGCCCCCACCTCAAAGGATGCATTCAGAGACAGAATAAAGTCCCTCTTATCAAAGTTTGACTTATTTTGCTTTATTGCCATAAACACAAGCTTCTCATCCTTGGTATGGGTATTGAGACAGCAGGAAATGTAAATGATTAAAAGGTATTTGGGGAAATGCCTCCCACCTCAGGTCTCCTCCTGCCCTTTGTGCCCAGCATTGGACTCCTGAGGTAACAGGAGCTCATCACAGAGCCAAATGGGCACCCGGGGACATTAACGGGGTGCTCAGATTTGCAGTTTTTAACCCCTCATGCAAACAGTTGGGTGCTCCTGAGTGAGCTGCTGGGGTGCTCATGCATCAAATAATTGGCCACTTATGCAC